AGGTCTCTTCCAACTCTTTGATTCTATGATTCTAAGGCCTTTTCTGCTCTCTGTATTTATATATTCTCCTCCCCTTTCCCTTGCTCTTACCATCAGCCTGCGCAGCATTATTTTGCTGGGAACTGATTCCTCTCTTAATTGGAAACATATTTTTCTCTTGTCGGGAAGAAATCAAGTTATGTGATCGGAATTGCAATTGCTGGTCTCTGCTTCTTTTTCTGTCTTCCTCTGAAATCCACCCTTTGCTGTCTCTTTGAAGTTGGTAGGATGCTGGTTGGAGACATCTCAGGAGGACAACTCACCTTCCATGTATGGTTCATGAAATTGGAAGAGACAATAAGTAACGTGTAAGACTGGATCTACACTGCCATATAATCCAGATTATCCAAGCAGATAATCCACATTTTCTGCTTTGAAGTGGATTATATGACTCCACACTGCCACATAATCCAGCTCAAAGCAAATAATCTGGAATTTATATGGCTGGATTATATGTAATCCAGAATATCTAAGCAGATGATCCACATTTTCCGCTTTGAAGTGGATTATATGAGTCCACACTGCCATATAATCCAGTTCAAAGCAAATAATCTGGAATTTATATGGCTAGATCTACACTGCCATGTAATCCAGATTATCGAAGCAGATGATCCACATATTCCGCTTTGAACTGGATTATATGAGTCTGCACTGTTATATAATCCAGTTCAAAGCAGACAATCTGGCTTTTATGTAGCAGTGTAGAAGGGAGCCTATGGATGGCTCTGCACTGCTATATAATCCATATTATCTGCTTTAAACTGGATTTTATGGCAGTGTGGACTCATATAATCCAGTTCAAAGCAGAAAATGGTGGATTATCTGCTTTGATAATCTGCTTTGCTGCCCTGAGTCGCCTTCGGGCTGATATGGGCGGAATAGAAATAGTGTATAATCTGCATTATATGGCAGTGTGGATCTAACCACAGGCCTCTTCTACACTGCCATATAAAATCCGGATTATCTACTTTGAACTGGATTATATGGGAGTGTGGACTCATATAATCCAGTTCAAAGCAGAAAATAGTGGATCATCTGCTTTGATAATCTGGGTTATATGACAGTGTGGATCTAACCATAGGCCCCTTCTACACTGCTATATAAAATCCGGATTATCTACTTTGAACTGGATTATATGGCAGTGTGGACTCATTTAATCCAGTTCAAAGTAGAAAATAGGGGATCATCTGCTTTGATAATCTGGATTATATGGCAGCGTGGATCTAGCCATAGGCCTCTTCGTCACTGCCATATAAAATCCGGATTATCTACTTTGAACTGGATTATATGGCAGTGTGGACACAAATAATCCAGTTCCAAGCAAATCCAGATTATCTGATATATATAAAATCCAGATTATCTGATTTGAAATGGATTATATGGCAGTGTGTACTTATATAATCCTGTTCAAAGCAGAACATGAGAATCATCTGCTGTGATAATCTGGATTATATAGCAGTGTAAATCTAGCAATAGGCCATTTCTACATTGATATATAAAATCCATATTATCTGCTTTAAACTGGATTATATGCCAGTGTGGACTCATATAATCCAGTTCAAAGCAAGAAATCTGGATCATCTGCTTTGATAATCTGGATTATATGTCAGTGTAGATCTAACCATCAAGCCATTCTGCACTGCCATATAAAATCCAGTTTATCTTATTTGAACTGGATTATATGGCAGTGTAGATTCATATTATCCATATTATCTGACATATAATCCACATTTTCTGCTTTGAACTGGATTATATGAGTCTACATTGCCATAAAATCCAGTTCAAAGCAGATAGTCTGGATGTTATGTGGTAGTGTAGAAGAGGCCTAGGGCTGGATCTGCACTGCTATATAATCCAGATTGTATTGTCGAAGACTTTCATGGCCGGAATCACTGGGTTGTTGTAGGTTTTTTTGGGCTATATGGCCATGGTCTAGAGGCATTTTCTCCTGACGTTTCGCCTGCATCTATGGCAAGCATCCTCAGAGGTAGTGAGGTCTGTTGGAATTAGGCAAAAGGGTTTATATATCTGTGGACAATTTCAACAGAAAGGAGGAAACCATGAAAATCAACAAAATCTGGCTACCAGTATTAAAAAAACTCTAAAATTGCAACAGCACAACAACAGAGAGGAAGCAGGCAGGGACATCTAATTACCTCTCAACAAAAGTTTGCCCCAGGCACAGGTAGCCCATTGTATGCTAATCAAGGTGGTCAGTTGAAACATTCACACCTAGCTCCAGCAGACAAGAGTCCTTTGCCCCACCCTGGTCATTCCACAGATATATAAACCCTTTTGCCTAGTTCCAACAGACCTCACAACCTCTGAAGATGCTTGCAATAGATGCAGGCGAAACGTCAGGAGAGAATGCCTCTAGACCATGGCCATATAGCCCAAAAAAACCAACAACAACCTGGCCTAGGGATTGATCTGCAGTGCTATATAAGACAGATTATCTACTTTGAACTGGATTATATAATTCAAAGCAGAAAATGTGAGTCATCTGCTTTGATAATCTGGATTATACGGCAGTGTAGAACCAGCCTTAGATGTTACTTGTTGTCTCTTCCAATTCTATGAACCATTCATGGAAGGAGAGTTGCCTTACGAGATGCCTCCATCTGTTGTTTGAATAGGGCAACACTGCTGTTTCTCGGCCTATTCCTATTCCTTATCCATTTAATCACAGTGTTCAGGGCTGACTCAATAACTACATTCATCACTTGACATTGGTTCGTGAAAACTAAAAAGTTTTAATGCAATGTCGGCTAGTGTGTAAGCAATGTATGCCTGTATGATGAGGTTGGAGTAGGTGGTCCTTGTGGCCTCTTCTAGCTCTAGGAATAGTTCAGATTTTCCGAATGAAGCAGAGAGTGTTTGAGGACCGGGACATCCGTAGGGATACCAAGGTGCTTGTTTACAAAGCTATTGTCCTCCCAAACTTGTTATACGCCTGCGAAACGTGGACAGTCTACAGACGTCACATGCAACTCCTAGAACGATTCCATCAGTGCTGCCTCCGGAAAATCCTGCAAATCTCTTGGGAAGACAAGCGGACAAATGTCAGCGTGCTGGAAGAAGCAAAGAACACCAGCATTGAAGCGATTGTCCTCCGCCATCAACTCCGCTGGACCGGCCACGTTGTCCGGATGCCCGGTGACCGTCTCCCAAAGCAGTTGCTCTACTCCAAACTCAAGAACGGAAAATGGAAAAGATGGGCTCAAAGCCAACCTGAAAAACTTTGGCATAGACACTGAGAATTGGGAAGCCCTGGCCCTTGAGTGCTCCAGCTGGAGGTCAGCTGTGACCAGCAGTGCTGTAGAATTTGAACAAATAAATTGTTATTTGGGCTTGGCCTCATGTAAGCTGCTCCGAGTCCCCATCAGGGAGATGGTGGCGGGGTATTGTTGGGGTTCAGCCTGATCCTGATCTGTGTGAACCGGATTCTCTGATAGTTTTTCCAACTGAGCAAGC